CTCCAAGGTCAGCTAATCCTTATTGATGTTCTGACATGCCAAATGTGATACTTTGGGTCATAACGAACACTAGTAACAGTGGGCTCTGGGTACAAATGAATTGCAGGAATAATGGGACATGCACGGATGGTTTGCTGAACAGCAAGGGGGGATTCTTTTGTGCTCTTGCTTTCACTGCTTGGGATCTACTGGTTCATAAGTAAAACCAGCACCAGTATATAGCTTCTGAAGATGAGTAAAACATAATTCACTTCTAGATGGAAGAGTGGAGGAGGTATGACTGGAAATGAATTTGAAAAAGAAGGAAAACTAAAAACCAGGCAGAAAATCTGAAGTACTTTGTTATTTTTCCATTTAGATTTTCCTCAAAAGCCAACACAACTGAAGCTTGGTAAAGGATCTGCAGCCCAGGAGCACCGACTGTAGTTTAGCAAATAGGATTTACATGAACTAAAAATGAGTTAACAGAGGAAAAGGTACAGCAACAGCGAGAAAACATTTTAGCTTCTTGAACTCATCCTTAAAAATATCAGCTTTTTATATCACACTTTGCTAGGCAGAAAAAGATACTTCTCAGAGTGGGAAGGTTTAGCATTTAACATCTGGGCTTACAGATAGTTTCAGCAACATTTATGTTGAAATTCATCTGTAAATGTTATTGTGTCAGATACTATGTAAAGAAATAGCCTATACCATGTAGAGTTCACAATCCAGACAAACATTGAACTGTAGGAATCATTTACAACAGAGAATCAAAGGAATTACAGGGTTTTCCAAAAATGCACATGGAGCTTCTAATGGAGAATTAAGAAATTACTCTTGTTTTTTCAGGACCTATGTCAGTGTCTTCATTACCAAACCTTCCTGTCTCAAATCACACCTCTCCAACACCAAAGCTGGGTGGAGGCCAGCACCTCATGCTCAGCAGGAATGGCTTTCTGAAAGCCAATGATCTGCCTGTGAATGCTACTACTTGCTTTAGTACTTCGCAAACTAAGTAAAACAACCTCAGCTGCCATTCTGAAATGCAGGCTACACTGTAAGTTTCCCAAATGATTTCTCAAAAGTTGAATAAATGAATGTACAATACAATCATAACAATTTTGTCATAGCCGTTTTGAGACAGTCCACAGCTGTGAGGAACAGATTTGTTCAGGAATTAATTAATTAATTAATTAATAGAGGCAGGCTAAGCTAAGTAAAGGCCTGAATTCAGCCGAAACCAAAGTCCTGTTGAAATGAATGAAGCTGGAGTAAATTTTGCTGTTCTCCTGAAAAAGAATGTTCCCAGAAGAGATTTGGTCTGCTTTGTCAGTTCATATTTGTTGAATTTAATTTATTTAGTGCGCTAATCACATCAGATCAAAGGTCAGATTTTAAGATTACTTATTAACTCCTTAATTTGACCTTTATATGCAGTGGTTTTGTTGCATGTTTAGAATTTTTCATTTCTGTTTTCTTTGTCCTACAAGAAACTTAAGTGCTCTTCCAGCTGTTGAGAACATTTTACTGCTCTGTTCAAAACTGATCATGGCAGTCTTCTGGCTTTCTTCTATTTTTAACCTTGACTTATAAAGTAATCTTATGTAATATTGTTATCCTACATTTAAAAAAAAAAAAGTGGTTGGCTTTTCTGACATGTAGTGTCATAGATGTTCAGCTTGGGTTTGAGATTGTGTCATTCTCCATTCTTATGGTTCATCACCCAGGAAACTAAAGACCAGTCAGTCTCACCTCTGTGCCTGGCAAAATCTTGGAGCAGATTCTCCTGGAAGGCATGCTAAGGCACATGAAAAACAAGTTGATTGGTGACATCCAACATGTCTTCACTAAGGGCAAATCCTGCCTGACCAATTTGGTGGCCTTCTATGATGGGGCTACAGAACTGAGGGATGGGGGAGAGCAGTTGATGTCATCTACCTGGACTTGTGCAAAGTGTTCAGTACTGTCCCACACAACATCCTTGTCTCTAAATTGGAGAGACATCAATTTGATGGAGAGACATCAATTTGATGGGTGGACAACTCGGTGGATAAAGAATTGGCTGGATGCCTGCATGCAAAGACTTGCGGTCAACAGCTCTATGTCCCAATTGGAGACCAGTAATGAGTGGTGTCCCTCAGGGATCAGTGTTGGGACCGATCCTGTTCAACATCTTTGTCAGTGACATGGACAGTGGGGCTGAGTGCACCCTCAGCAAGTTTGCCAACAACACCAAGCTGTATGGTTCGGTTGATACGCTGGAGGGAAGGGATGCCATCCAGAGGGACCTTGACATGCTTGGGAGGTGGGCCAATGCCAGTCTCATGAAATTCAACCAAGCCAAGTGCAAGGTCCTACTAATTTGGAGAAAACTCCAGGAAAAAACTTGCCAACAGTTTTCAAGCTGACAAGCAGGTGTTCTTTATTGCGGAGCCGGGAGACACGGGGGATAGCTCCTCCTAACATGTGTCCCTATATTGCTATACAAGGTGCCCTTAAATAGTCCCTGGGCATACATACATATTCATGAGGCTAGGTATGGATTACATAATTTTCCAGAAAGTTCCCCACATGCGTACAGAATTGTGGTGGTGGTCTCTGAGTGTCATTTACTTCTTCCAACAATCTTCATCACTTCTGGCAGCCTTTGAGCATGCGCAGTAGATGCTTATACCAGCTTAATTGGTTCGTTAGCACCAGAGACATAATAATCTTCCTGTTTTCCTACTTATCTAGTTAGTTTAACTGTAGCCCATCCTGGACACCTGCAGTTCCCAGATACTCCTTATCCTGTGTCCTGTTCTTCTAGACTGTTTTTCTTAAAAGTATGTCAACTGTAATGATTTATCTTGTAAAAGAATTCTCAGTATGTCCTCTAGCTGTAGTCTACTTTTTTTTCTGTGTGTCATGCACCTCAGTAATTTTCCATTGCTACTGTTACAAAGCCATCAAACTTAACATTACTTAAAACTGATTCTAAAGGTTTATATATCCATTTTATAATTTTGTGCCCCCCCCCCCCCCCCCCCCCCCCCCCCCCGTCTCACTACACCCAGGTCAAGTCAGTCCCAGGCAGCACAGCTACAGGTTGGGCAGAGAAAGAGATTCAGAGCAGCCCTATGGAGAAGGACTTAGGGGCGTTGGTTGATGAGAAAATGGACATGAGTCAGCAGCGTGCAGTTGCAGCCCAGAAAGCCAACCATATCCTGGGCTGCATTAAAAGAAGTGTGACAGCAGGTCAAATGAGATGATCCTGCCCCTCTACTCTGCTCTTGTGAGACCTCATTTGGAGTTTTGTACACAGTTTATATTGGGGGCATGATATGCTGTGGTATGGAATACCCCTTTGGCTTGTTTCAGTCAGTTGTTTTGTCTCTGCTTCCTCCTGGCTTACTGCGTCCCTCCTCACTGGCTGAGCATGAGAGACTGAAAAGTCCTTGATGGGGGTAAGCATTACTTAGCAACAACTAAAAACATTGGTTTGTTATCAGTGTTGTTCCCAGGCTGAAGTTGCAAACACAGCACTGCACTAGCTTCTAAGGAGAAAAATAACTGCTACAGCTGAACCCAGGACATCTTGTGAGATCCCACTTGGAGTACTGTGTGCAGTTCTGGTGTTCTCAACATACAAAGGTCATGGAGCTGTTAAAGCAAGTCCAGAGGAGGGCCATGAGGATGATAAGAGTGCTGGAGCACATTCCATATGAAGACAGGCTAAGGAAGTTGGGGCTGTTCAGCCTGGAGAAGAGAAGCTGCGTGGAGACCTCATGTCAGCCTTCCAGTATCTGAAGGGGCCTACAAGGATGCTGGACAGGACTCTTCATCAGACTGTAGTGATAGGGCAAGTGGTAGTGTGTTCAAACTTAAACAGTGGACGTTCAGGCTAGATATAAGGAAGAAGCTCTTTACTGTGAGGATGGTGATGCCCTGGAACAGGTTGCCCAAGGATGTGGTAAATGTTCCATTCCTGTCAGTGTTTTTGGCCAGGTTGGACAGAACCTTGGGTGGCTTGGTGAGGTGTCCCTGCCCATGGCAGGGGGCTGGAGCTAGATGATCTTAAGGTCCTTTCCAACCCTAACTATTCTATGATTTTTCATTTTGAAAGGAATTCCTGCGGATTTAATGTCTTGACCTAAAATTACTTAAGACTTTTGATTTGTTTATCAGAACATGTTCTGAGAGATTTCTGTAGGTAGAAATAATGTTAGCTGAAATTCTCTGGGGTTTTGGAGTGAGAATTCATTGAAAAATACTTCATATTTATATTTTCCTCAATGTTTTGTGTACTGTACTTAGAAAAGCATGTATTGGTCTATTGAGTTCTTTAAAACTTGGGCCATCTTTAAAGACAAACCATTTTATCTGAGACTTGCTTCTCTTAAATGTGTTCAGGCATAAATGAGATGATCGCTACAACTGAAATGGCTTAAAATATGTCTGACTTAGAGTGGAAAGATTGTAGCAGGTCCACAGAGACAATTTCTACTTTATGTTTAGAAAATATACAAGGATTTACAGAAGTGTAGTTTCTTCAGCTGGGATAAGGAGTCCAGCCTAGAAGAAAAGCCTGAGGGAATAATTTGGAACTCGATGGAATGTCCAGCTGTACTACTCTCGTGCTCGTCACAGAGAGAGCTCTGTTTAAGAAATTATTTTCTCTAGCTTCTGGTGCATCCCTTGCCTGATTGGATAGGTGCTGCAAGTGAAAATTAAAAATATTTTAATTAAAAAGGGGGGAGATATCTTTGTGTAAACTATGGAACTGTGAAAGCAGACAAAGCAGGGTGAAAATGCTCAGAGTAATAAAAGTTCCAGGTAAAATGTCAGTGAGAAAAATGTTGCTGATTTCACATACTTCTCTTGAAGTTTTTCCGTATGACTTTATAGGAAGAATTTCTAATAATACAGGCTGGTATAAGCTGCCCTGAACGTTATAGATCTAAAATATATGTAGAATTGCAAGATTGCTGTGAAAAGACTTAATAGGGTCTTAATCATACTTATTTTAAAACTACAGAATAATTGTGTTCTTTTCACAGTAACATTTGTAACAGTGAGCAAATTCTCTTAAGTTGCAGTTGTCTGTATGACCGGTTTTATTTATTTGCCCTGTATCAATTTGCCTTAATTTTACACAGATCTGTGACAACATTAAACTGGGAGAAATAGATTCTATAGGAAATGTCAGGGGAGTTAAGGGAATCAGCCCCTTTTCCTAGCTAGGTTATAACTCTTACTTCATGGCTCTATAAGTACTTTGAATGAGATGCTGACAGTGTTTCTAACAGTCATTAACCCTGGCCTTCCCTGGAGTAATTAAGTGATTGTCAGAAGCAAACACTAAATATGCTTGAAAAGCCGCCATGCTATTATAGAAATGAGTACACATATGCTTCAGACGTAGACTTTTGTTTGAAGTAGTACTCCTTTGCATAGGAACCAGTAATACTCTCAGCAGAAAACCTAGTGAGCTTCTACTGCATTACTAAGCATGTCATGAGCAAAACAAAATGCTTCTGTAAATTTTTTTGTTTAAAACGTTTTCCAAGAAAAACTAACAAAACTGACCTCAGTAAAAAAAAACAGAGTTTGACCCTGCAAATGTGTTACTGTATTTAAGTGAGCAACATGTCACTTATTTCTGAAATATCAAGTTTGTTTTATTTTAGCCTGCAAATTCACAGAGAAGCATGAATGGATATCTGTTGAAAATGGCATTGGAACAGTAGGAATCAGCAGTTTTGCACGGGTATCAATCCCTCCCCCCCCCCCGTCTAAGTCCACAATATTTATTTATGTGTACCTGCTCTTGTCCTTGCTCTTTGCACAGGTGTTTTTACTGTTCTGACTGCATATGCTCTCCACTGGGCATGATTTTTGGACTTGGTTCTATCACAATTTTTTGTGAAATGAATGCTACTTCAGCATCCTGATAAATTCTTAACCATTTCAAATTGAGCCTATGGAGAGCTGAACTTGATGAGAAACTTGGTGGTTCATCAGAATTCAAAGCCTCCTTTATTACTTGAGTTCTTACAGGCCTGAGGAGGTCATGACTATGTAGAGGATATTGTTCACTTTTTTGGTCAAATTTCCCTTGAACATGAATACGGTGCAGTCCCTCTGGCTAAAGAACAATTGTGAATAGTAGTACAACATGGTATATATTTCTTACTCTAGGATAAGAATTCCTCTGGATTTTTTTGTTTTGTTCTTGCACAAGTACTTGATTTGGAATAGTTGTAGGCAAATTCAGGGTAAGATTCACTGTGAAACTTCAGAAAATCTAATGTGCGAAGCTATTGATAAAGTGGAATTAGTATTTTGTAGGACAAGCAGTATTTCCCATGATCTCCATTTTCTATAAGTAACACTAATACTCCGTAAGATCCCTAGACTTTTGTGAGATGGGTTACATTTGTTAGTTAAGAGGCAGATGCCTGTTCTGGTTGAGCTGATCCTTATGATGATAAGGCTCCTTATTAAGTCAGGACAAACTGTCCAGCTGTCCATGTCTCTGGAGTGGAAATTCTGCATTTTCTTTCAAATTGCACTGGAAGTAACAAAAAGCAAATTCCCTCCAGTCACTGGGAATGGTGTCCTTTAAAACAGTTGTTACTCTAGCTGATGTAAAGAAGATCAGCCTATGCATATATACCTTGTAACTCATTGTGAGGGTTATTAGCACCGTAACATATAAACAATAATTTGGCATTTGGGGCATGATAACAAACCTTTTCCAAGTTAAATGTTTAAAAATAAGAAGTGAAAAACATGTAGGCCTTAAAGAATGAGAACTAAATTTGGAGACAGATTACTTATATACAGATTGTAGAGTTACTGTATCAGATCTCTCCTACATATAGTTTCTTTAATGCATGCTTTGATCCTTTTGTTTTTCTTTTAAGGAAGCATTAGGAGATGTTGTTTACTGTAGTCTTCTAGAAATTGGGACAAAATTGAGTAAAAATGGTAAGTTTCAGCTCTAATTTCTAATGAAGTCATTATTCTACTCATTCCACTCTCCCTTTGCAGAGATTAATTTTACAAAGTAATCTTTATGTTCATTAATACCATTACAAATCTTCTGGATGCAAAACACATTTGGGTATTTCTACAAGAGACAGATTTATTTAAAGTTATCGCTGTCAGACCATGTGTGGTAGCAGAAAATACCTGCCTATTAAACTGTGAAGACATTTATTAAAAAAATTTTAAATATCTTTTTGTAATAATTTTACCTATGCTTTGTTTTTAAAATATTTATGCTTTGATTTGGACTTACTAGTGTTCAGGCTGACTTATTTGTAATTCTGCAGTTAAGCATTTCATGAGTTGCACAGTGTGAAGCATCTAATTGATATCAAGCTCTAATTTTTCTGTAAACATACAGACTCAGTAATTTGGGGAGGTATCAGATGTAATCATAGATTTCTGCTCATTAGTGTTGTACAAACTGTTACATTCTTAATTATTAAGTTGTGTAGTTTTCCATGTTAAAGAAGGGTGGGCATTAACAGGTAGAAAGTAAAAGTTTATTCCTGTGCTTACAGAGAGAGCTCTTTTGCTAGTATATGAAGAGGTTGCAGAAAAAGAACATAGAGTTACTGAGGTAAAGTAGCAGGCCTTTCTTTTTGCCATCCTCCTTTGTGGAATAGGTTCATAGTGAACTGTTTTGGCCAGTTCTAGTACATCACATTGAATGGTGAATGTTAAAGAAAAGGTCTTTCTGTTTAGGGTTTTAATTAACCAACTTGTAGTTGTAAAGAATACAAGAATGATTTGTGTCAAGAACTTAGAAATCATTGTTACCAATGTACCTGTGACCAGTGTACCATGTGTGAAATGTATAAAAATGACCTTGATTATAATAAATGTTGCTGTCAATGTAATGATGGGAAAGAAGAAGAAAGAAGGGAATAAGCTAGTCCCCTCTTTAATCATTTAGACTGTTAAAACAATAAGGAACGCTTTTAGCTTTGTTTAGCTGCTTGAATGCTTTAAGGGGGTTAGGTAACCAAGGAGACACATCCTGTTAAATATGCGGGTCTAAGATTGTGGTTAAGCTTGTGATAGACATCTTTCTGTTAATGTATTACCGAGAAGTTTCAGTATGTTTCCTTACCTGGAGAGAAGACCCCAGCAACAGGACAGAAACAAATGAAAAGGAGCCACATCGAGTTTCAGGCAAAGAAGACAACAGGACTGGCTGAAACTCAAAGCCAGGAACTGAAACCCTGGACCAAGAAGTATAAGAGACTGTACCCCAAAAACCCTGGTGTGCGTTGTTGGCGCAGCGGAGACTCCCCACGCAACCAGCACTGCTTGATTATTGCCTCTTGATATTAATCAATTGTAATAAAATAATTAAATCAGATCATGGCCAAGGCTAAATTTTTATAACATAGTTTTATCTGAAGGAATTAATTTCCATTTAGTTATTTTCTACACATTCTGGCTTTAGTCTAATTCCAGGCTTTTGCAGAACATGTTGTTCTCTGATTCCTTGTGCTGTTGATGCCTGTCTACTCTTCTGACAGCTCTGTTCCTCCAGCCTCTGTCTTGTTTCCTTGTGGCTTGGAGTTACTCAGGACTAACATTGCTCCAGGCACCATTTCCATAACTGCCTACAAAGCAGAAAAAAGGGAAGAGCAGCTGGGTGATTCCCATGTGGTGCTTCTGAATACTAATGAACATTTTCTGAATGCAAATGTAACACTTGATAGTGTTTCTGAAGAAAAACTGTAATTCCTCAAATAGTGGCTGTGTATTTTGTAACCAAATTATGTATTAAAATGTTTCAATTGAAGATAAAAGGCTTATTTAGGTCTTTTGCCCCAAGAGCTGAATGTATTTCCTTCTAACCTTATATCCTACCATAATCTGTAGGGCTTTAGGATCAGTCTAAATGTAAGAAAATTCTGTCCCTTTTGTAGTGGCCAGCTAGCTAATGTTATGCAAGTTCCCCAAAATAATTCAGGAGCATAAATATAAAACTTAACTGCTGATCATTGTCATAAAGTTGATGACTTCAGTCTCTGACATTTTTCCTTGCTCAAGATCAAGACACGTCTTCAATAGCTAGGTCATCACCAGAACATCTGACTAAAAAACTAAGTGCTTTATATTATCATCTTAGAATATGATGGAACGCTTTTGTGTTTCAGATGAGTTTGGAGCTTTGGAAAGAGTGAAAGCTGTTAGTGAACTCTCCTCTCCTCTCTCAGGAGAAGTGACTGAGATTAACAATGCCCTTGCAGATAATCCAGGGCTTATCAATAAATCCTGTTATCAAGATGGTAAGAGATCATTTTTATCTTTTGATAATGAATACCACGTGGATTATTGCTAGCACAAATGGCTCTTCAATTCCTAGTTCTTTCAGTTTAATGGTGTGGAGGTGTCATGGTTTAAACCTAGCTGGTAACTCAGAACCATGCTTGCTCATTCCCCACCCGCCCAACAGGATGGGAAGGAGAATTGAAAGAATGTAAATCCCACAGGTTGAGATAAGAACAGTCCAATAACTGAAGTCTAATATAAAATTAACAATAATAATAAGAACAATAAGGGAAATAACAAGGGGAGAGAATATAAAACTAAAAGGGGAAGGGAAAAAACAAACGGATAAACACAAGTGATGCACAGTACAATTGCTTACCACCTGCTAACTGATACCCAGACCGACCCAAGCAGTGATCTGGGCCTTCCAGGTAATTCCCCCCAGTTTGATTGCAGGATATGACGTGCTGTGGTATGGAATACCCCTTTGGCTAGTTTGGGTCAGGTGTCCTGTCTCTGCTTCCTCCTGGCTTCTCATGCCCCTCCTCACTGACAGAGCATGAGAGACTGAAAAGTCCTTGATCAGAGTAAACATTACTTAGAGATATCAGTCAGAGCTTGCTCGGGCTGGGGAGGTGAGTTATCGGTCGGCTGGTGGTGAGATGTCGTATTCTCTTCCCTTGTTATTTCCTTTATCATTATTATTATTGGTGGTAGCAGTAGTGATTTGTGTTATACCTTAGTTACTAAACTGTTCTTATCTCAACCCGGGGGAGTTGCATTCTTTTCAGTTCTCCTTTCCATCCCTCCGGGAGTAGGGGGAGTGAGGAAGGGGGGGAGTGAGTGAACAAGCTGCATGGCTGTATTTAAACCACAACACATCTCTATACCTGCAAGGGGTTTTTATTCTACTGTCTGATTTACGTAACTTCAGGATGTTCTCTATAATATTTTGGGAAACAAAAATTTATTTGCTAAAATATATACTTTCCAAGAAAGATTTGACAACCAAGTTTAGTAACAATAGCCTCAATATGTTAAGTCTGTAGTTGGCACATGGCTATTCTCATAACCTGGACTAGCACTTTCCCTGAAATACTTTTCTAATGCTCCCAAGATACTGAAAAGTGGTGTCTCCCTAATCTCCTAATATTTTTCCTAATTATAGTTGTAAAGATGATACCAAAAAAGGAGCCATATCAACTATCTCTTTGATTTTTACTTCTTTACAGAATTTATTAATCCTTTGTTTTCCTTTTTCACTTTACTATGTAATCAAATAGTTCTGTCTTCTGATTTATATGCTTTCTTAGTACACAAACTGTGATGAGAGTTTATCAAGTTTCTATAGTGGATTGTTTAGGCTGTATTATTTTTGTCTAGTAAATACCTATGTCACAAGTAATTAAGGAATTCTACACCTTGTGCCGAGCAACTGTGGTGATTTCGGAAGAGTAGGTACATGTGAAAATTTTGTGATCAGTCATAGTTTGACATATATCCATGTGTGTCAGATTGAGCAGGCATACAGTTGTAAGGACATTATGGGCATGAAACTAAAGCTTTCACTTGGCAAACCATTAAACTGAAGCAGCTGATCCCATTAGACTTAATGAATCCACAAATGTGCGTCCAAAGTTGATGTGACATCTAAGGCTATGGTTGAGTTACACATGAGTGTGGCTAAATGACAACTTTCCAAAGGAAACTACTTAAAACAGAATTCACCCTTTCTGGTGCACAGTTGGAGAATGGACATTATTTTGCTTGAAAAGGAGAACCAGGAACTTCTGTCCCTACTCCTTTTAGGGTTTTTATATGACTTTAAAGTGATTTATTAAATTTCCTGATTTCTCTTAAGATGGTGACATTAATACTTAGGTATTTTTCTTTGTGTGGTTTAGGCTGAGAGCTCTGGTGTTCTTCAGTTATTTAGGCTGAAGGATAGTTGTTGGAGCAAATATTTTTATCTCTTTCTGCACTCAACTACCTGAATTATTCTGCCAAAAGAATGTTTTCTTCCTTGTATGATGTATGCTACTCAAGCAGAGCTCCTACCTTTCAAATAATCCCATAGCCTCACCACACTCAGCAGCAGCAGGCAGCCTCAGGTAGGCCACCATGCGAGACTTTGCAAGAGCAGGCATGCAAAACTTGCCAATGTGGATCCATAATGAATGCCTTTCCTCAAAGTGAAAAGATGGAATGAATGTGTATTAGCTTTGGTCTATGACACACTTTGAAAAGCTTCTGTATAAATGATGGGGGAGAACTTAAAAGTTGTTCACCAGTGTGTGCTCCTACAGAAAATTAATAAAGGAGATGTTTTTTTTACAAAATAACCATTTATCTCTTCTCTCTTAAGTCTTGATCCTGAGCTTAAGAACTAAACACTCACAATTGCTGGATACTAGACATTACAGACTCAATAGAGGGATTGGTTTTATGGCAATTATGATTTCTATACTTTACCCACAACCAATAATTATTTATCTGTATTACCTAGGAGTTAATTAGAGAATCATAGAATCATAGAAACATTAGGGTTGGAAAGGACCTTAAGATCATCTAGTTCCAACCCCCTGCCATGGGCAGAGACACCTTACGCTAAATCATATCACCCAAGGCCTCGTCCAACCTGGCCTTGAACACTGCCAGAGATGGAGCATTCACAACCTCCCTGGGCAACCTATTCCAGTGCCTCACCACCCTAACAGGAAAGAATTCAATTCTTATATCCAACCTAAACTTCCCGTTTAAGTTTTAACCCATTACCCCTTGTCCTGTCACTACAGTCTCTAATGAAGAGTCCCTCTCCAGCATCCCTATAGGCCCCCTTCAGATACTGGAAGGCTGCTATGAGGTCTCCACGCAGCCTTCTCTTCTCCAGGCGGAACAGCCCCAACTTTCTCAGCCTGTCTTCATACAGGAGGTGCTCCAGTCCCCTGATCATCCTCGTGGCCCTTCTCTGGACTTGTTCCAACAGTTCCATGTCCTTTTTATGTTGAGGACACCAGAACTGCACACAATACTCCAGGTGAGGTCTCACAAGAGCAGAGTAGAGGGGCAGGATCACCTCCTTCGACCTGCTGGTCACACTCCTTTTGATGCAGCCCAGGATACGGTTGGCTTTCTGGGCTGCGAGTGCACACTGCCGGCTCATGTTCATTTTCTCATCAATCAACACCCCCAAGTCCTTCTCCACAGGGCTGCTTTGAATCTCTTCTCTGCCCAACCTGTAGCCGTGCCTGGGATTGCTCCAACCCAGGTGTAGGACCTTGCACTTGGCATGGTTAAATATATATCATTACATCATCACATTAATTCTTGCTAAAACTTCCTTTCCATTCTACAAGAACCAACCCCTTTATTTCTCAATATATCTAACTGAATAAAAAAGCTAAACTTGGAACTAATTTTTTCCATCCATATTTAGTTTTCTAAGATTACCATCATCAGCCCTGGAAAGATTGCATA